GATCCATTCTTAAATTCTGATATTCTGTATTTCAGACAGAGTATCTGATTTTGACTCTACGTAATTTAAAACTGACCATCATTTAAAAATGATGTGTAAATTTTTAAATAAGTTACAATTTTCTCAGAGTTGTATCTGGCCAAATATGAACACAACGCTGTTTCGGTAGGACTGTGCTTTGCCTTGTCAGGTTTAAAGTTTCATGATTTTAAAAATGTCTTTGTGGTCTATTACTACCCTTTATTAAAGCTTTTAAAATTGCCTACGTGAAGAATATGAAAAGTTAGAGGCTGGTGGCCAAATACAAAATGCTGTGAGTAGATGGGCTGGACCCACAGCCCATGTGAATAAAAGAACTGTGCTGATTTCAGAGGAGCTGTTCCGGTTTACAGCAGCACAAGACCTGTGACTCTACATGCACTCAGAATCACATAATCACAGAATATTCTAAGCTGGAAGACTCTTAAATTCTTAAGAGTGAATGGCCTCTATGGGGATCGAACCATAACCTTGGCGTTACTGGCATCAGGTCTGACCGACCGAAACTGCTCAGCTGCTTATCTATAACATACAGCAAGAAGGCATTAGATAGCTAATACTTTAAAGGTGAGATGGAAAACCCTACTTAGATTAGGGACAGAGTCTTCTTTGATTTGTATGGATGAAATTAAGAAAGAAATTCTATCATCAGCTTCACTGAATTATTCCAGATTAGCATGGGGGAAAAGAGGGATTAACCCTATCATAGCTGTATTTGCATGTCAAGTGTTTAGGACTGATATTAGTGTAAATGAGTAAATATCAGTAAAGCGACTCTGGATTTCTAACATATTTCCAAAAGCAGATCTAGCTTATTCATCCCTTCTTTTAATTCCATGTACAATGTGGTTTTTACCATAGATGTCTGAGAAATACAGAACCTAGTTAAACAATGGGGAAAGTAAATACCTACAGTCATAAACCGTTGACTATGGTGAATAAATTTATAGAACATTTAAAGTTCCTAGTCCAGTTCAGACTGCTCTTATAGCTTCCCTCTGTTTTATAGCTGCATAAAGGAACCATTAAGGTCAATTCAGTAAATTCTCATACACCTCTCTAGCAGATTAGGTTTCTTTATATATTTTACATGGTAGTAAAAAAATAAATAAAGAAGGGTATTAAACCCCAATAAATGACATCAAAGTAAAGATACAGTTCTGATTTAAGCCCTTGTCAACTCAGGAAGTTCAAAGTGAAGTTTCTGCCCTGCCTGGGAGACGGTGCTATTCTCCCTGGAACAATAGCAACAGGCACATTGATTTCCATCTCAGATTCCTTCCTTTGTCTAATTGTGCTCAAGTACAGCTGCACAGATACAACATCACGAGTGGAAACCTTGTACCTGGTTGTTTGATATTCTGAACTCAGTAAGAATTTGCTTTGGGATAATGAATACTAGGTTTTCCCTGTTTATGTGGCTCTGGGACAAAAAAGCTTCCCACAAATCTGTAATAAACCAACTTTAACAGCTTTGAATGATTTGCTTAGACTCTAAATCAAAGTGCATGTGTATAACAAAGATGAAATTCTGATCATGGAAAGTGTGTGTGCGTTGAATGCAATTTGGGTCTGCCACTCTGTGAGACGTGTGTGACCGACTCCCAATTCCAGCCTGTTTCCCCTCTGCCGCCCTCCCAGCACGACTCCTTCAGTGGCATTCAGGCACCATCAGTTGTGAAACCTGCCAGGCAGCTCTGCTGGTCTCGACACTGGTGGTTACATCAACTTGACTACAAAGCGATTCTCCAACCCCCTTGGCTGGAGGCCTGGAATGACTTGGGTGTCTCCAACTGGGCTTGTCCCACTTGGCAGCAGCGTCTCGCCCCGCCAGACCCCCGGGCTAGCACTATTTTGTTAGTGTGAAGGTCTGTGCCAGCAGGACGAGGTATTTCACTATATGATCTCAGAGTGCAAGGCACTGGAAGGGAGACAAAGACAACAAAAGGCATGTAGTATCTCAGAAAATACTGCAGATAGGAGAAAGTACCCACTGCAGGAAGAGGAGGTAACCTAGAGCCAGAAGCTGTAAGGAACAAATTGTCAGGGTATTTGAACTCTGTGTCCAAGTGTGAATTCATGCTTTTGTATCCATTTTCACTTTCCCCAAGAAAGGG